CCTTGCTTACTTACCAAATGCAGGATCAATTTTATTAAATTAATCCCACCTGCTCAGCCAAAGTAAATCTGACAGAGAGTTTATTAATCACCATATAGTTCTATACCTTAAGAATGATTGTGGGAATGAAATGACAATTACCAGGATCTTTTCTTCCATTCATTGTAGCCACAGAAAATAAGGTGAATGTCTGCAAAAGGTGCATGAACAGAAAACATACAAGTGATAGGGGCGCTTAAGTAAGTGTAAACTGAACTTAGGGAATAGTCATTATTCTTGTCTGTACATCTAACTAAATTTCACTCTAATATCACTTGCTTTTTCAGTGCCTGCCTTTAACATTAATTGTAATGGAGAAAAGAAGGACTAGGGGTGCATGATAACAGTACTTTTTCTAATATCTCAGAGGCTGCCAAAAAGAAGAGAGAGTCACCTGAAGGCAGGACAAGAAGGACATGAAAACTAATCAAGGAGAAAAGTAACCTAGAATTAAGGAGAAATTTCCTGACAGAACAATTCATCAGTGGAACAACTTGCCTCCAGATGTTGTGAATGCTCCAACACTGTACGAGATTGACAACCATTTGTCTGAAATGGTATAGGGCAGTGATGGCGAACTTTTTAGAGACCGAGTGCCCAAACTGCAACCCATAGTTTCCACCCATTGCTTCTTGTCCTGCCTTCAGGCGCTTTGGAAAATAGCTTGATTCCCTCTTCTTTGTGGCAGCCCCTGATATTGGAATACTGCTATCATGTCCCCCCTCGTCCATTAAACTAGACATACCCAATTCCAGCAACCGTTCCTTATATGTTTTAGCCTCCAGTCCCCTAATCATCTTTGTTGCTCTTCTCTGCACTCTTTCTAGAGTCTCAACATCTTTTTTACATCGTATGACCAAAACTGGATGCAGTATTCCAAGTGTGGCCTTACCAAGGCATTGTAAAGTGGTATTAATACTTCACGTGATCTTGATTCTATCCCTCTGTTAATGCAGCCTAGCACTGTGTTAGCTTTTTTGGCAGCTGCAGCACACTGCTGGCTCATATTTAGGTGATTGTCTACTAGGACTCCGAGGTCCCTCTCACAGTTACTACGATTGAGCAAGGTGCCACCTATGCTGTACTTGTGCATTTGGTTTTTCTTGCCTAAATGTAGAACCTTTCTTTTTTCACCATTGAATTTCATTTTGTTAGATAGTGCCCAGTGTTCAAGTCTGTCCAAATCCTTCTGTACCTGAAGCCTGTCTTCTGGAGTGTTGGCTATTCCTGCCAGCTTGGTGTCATCTGCAAATTTGATGAGTTCCCCATCTATCCCTTCGTCCAAATCGTTGATGAAGATGTTGAAGAGCAATGGGCCCAGAACAGAGCCCTGGGGCACCCGACTACACACTTCCCTCCATGTAGATACAGTTTCACTGAGGACTACTCGCTGAGTACAGCTGGCCAGCAAGCTACAGATCCATCTGGTGGTGATTCTGTCTACCCCACATTTTTCTATCTTATCAAGTAAGTTGGGGGAGATCCAGGGGGTTTCTGGCAGATGGGACGGTGGGCAGGAGGCTTGTCCTGCGGGATAAGGTGAGGCAGGGTAGGGGTGCTATTGTCACAGGGCAAGGCAAGGCAGGGGCCGGGCCGGCTGCTGCCTGACACCATTGGTACCCAATGGGGGCTGACAATGTCTGTCAGCAGCCACAGCCTGCCGGCCCCTCAACCGGCACACTCTGGCGCTCTGCAGCCTGCCAGCAATTCAGAAAAACCGCCTCTGAGTTGGACGGTCAACCAACAGCTGAGGAGGTGATGCAGTGGGTAGTGCCTGGGAAAAGGAGAGCATGCGAGGCCAGGAGGGATGGGACAGGGGGGGAGGGAAATCAGCCGTGCTGGGATGCATCCGGCCACGTGGGACCTCAGCGAGTTAGCGGGTGGCTGGTTGAAGAGGGATGGTTGCCATCTCTGGGGCATGGCGTGGGTGCCCACAGAAAGGGCTCTGAGTGCCACCTCTGGCATGCGTGCCATAGGTTCGCCACCATTGGTATAGGGCTTCCTGCCTGAGGGTTGGATTAGAAGATCTCCAAGGGCCCTTCCAACTCTGTATTTAGAAAAAAAATGAATGTCTAATCCTAACTTGAATGTGCCAGAGAGAGAGAAAGTTCTACACTATTTAAGCAAAAATATTTTATGTGTTTATTTTAGATATATTACTTTTTTCCTCAGGAAAAAAAATGAAATTCAGAGAAAAGATGCATGCACAGTCAAAACTTCTTTTGGCAAATGGCTGGCACATTTTTAAACCTGTATATCTTCAAATGTAACATTGTGAATGATAGAGGAAGCATGCTGATAAAGCTTACATATGCTGGCTTATTTTTTTGTTCCTTTTCATGCAGGGAGGTATTTGTATGAAACAACTTTTGCATAGGAAAGCTTCAAAAGTTCTCACACTACAGGAAGTCTAGCAGCTCTTAGTTTTTTTCTTACGAATTCCAGTGGCCTATACTCAAGAGAAGAAACATGAATGCAAATCTCTTGTGTTGTAGCTAACATAACTACAACTGATTCTTCATCCATATCTGAAATTCTGTCAGATTAATAGCACTGTAAAAATGATGCAAGGCTGACCTCCAATTCGTGCCATTCATCATTTAAAGCATAGCAAATCTTCAGAGTTTCTACAGATGAGTCATGAAAATCTACCACATAGTAGAAGACAATTTCTTTCTCCGTGCATTTCATGACTGTCCCATGAAAGTTGGCTGCAGTTGACAAATTATTCTCCAGCAACCTATAATCTCCCTCTCAAACCCTGCCAGCACAATACAATAGAGGCTAAAAATAAATGGTTCCACACAGTTAAGAGCCACTTGTAAGTGAACAGAACTGATCATGTTTACTTTGTTTTCAAAAACCAGGACACTTGCTATCAATTAACCACTTGGGGTATGCAAAGCTCTAACAGACAAGCTACCAGAGGCCTGAAATGCCAAGTTCTAACTTCCACTTCTTTACCATCCTTTCATTTCTTGATCAAAGACTCATGTGAACAACACTAATTTGCTTAGAAATTAAACACAAAATGGGGAATGCAGTCCAGCAACTCACTGAAGAACACTGTAGGCAGTTAATGGTTAATTAGCATTATAATAGGAACAGGATAATTTTCAAACAAGAAGCTTGTTTCAAAACTGTATTTGTACAATGGCTGAAACCTTTAGGAAGATGCCAGGACTCTCATTACAAGCATTGCCCAAAAGTTTTCTCACTGGGCTTGATGAAGCTACTGTATGAAACATATAGTCAAAGCCAGACCCAAAGAGATGCTTCAAAGGCAGTGCCAAATCATGTTACCTTTGTCCCCTGACCTTAGCAGGACTTAGAAAAAAGCCCCTCAATGCATACATCTAAAGCACACAAAGCCAGGAAAAAAGGCACGAGCTGTTGAAGCAATGCTTTTGAAATGACTCTGAAGTTCTGTTTTGGAGGATAACTTTGGGTGCTGAAGGGAACAATGCACAAAGATTCTTCAGGTTTGGTTTCTAGGTGAAAGGTCAGAGGCTTAAGATGGGCCCTGAATTAGATGAATGGATTTTTAAATAAATCATACATGAAATGATATGGAAAACAGTACATTATGGTAAAGAAAACAATCCCCAAGTAATTGGCAAAGACATATTTTGTTGAAAGGAGCACTTTGATTCGTCTTTAACTTCTGTGGTTCATAAATGTCATATACCCGTTAAGTAACTGATACCACAAGCTTTCGTAAAACATCCACCTAGTTAAAATCAATAGTTCTATGTGTCTTGCAACCTGTCCATAAATTCACAGGAATGAAAGAAACACCCTTCCCCTCCCAAAAGACTAGTATGAAAACTGGAGATGGCCATGCAGAAGCTGTTATATCGTGTTACTCCCAGGGCCACTCTTCTTGTTAGAAAAATAAGTTAGAATGTTCCCTGATTTGACTTGTGTTTCTGTCTTTATCCTCTGATGAATCTTTTAGCGCATCATACAAAGTTTATTAACTACTCAAGCCAGAATGCTTTAAAATCTACTAAAATAGAAGAGCTGCTTTGGGATAATTATTTTCCAAAATTGGAGATTGCTTTGCAATCTAAAACTAAAAAAGATCATTCTGAACAATCGTGTCACCTTTTTATGTACATTACTCTACTCCTCAAATAGAACCAACAGTTATTATAAGTCCTAACACAGAAAAAAATGAGAAAATCCAAACAATATCTTCATTCAGGATACATACCAGGCTTTCTGAATTATACATTACATGTACAAAGACATTATTTTATATGGGATTATGAAAATAGAATTACCTAATGGCCAATCATTTACTTCTTAAATTACTGTAAATACATTTTGTGTATTAGAGGTCCATTTTGTGTATTTAGAGCCCTAAAGCCAAAATACAGTAGAAGAATGTCAGTAAATGACAAATTGTAACCGATACGTAAATTGAAAAACCTAGCTACCAAAGACAGATTTATAGCAATTTTAACAGGGCTCTGAAGTTTTGACCTAGACTAGGCTTCACATATCTGTCTTTTGAATATAATACCGCCCAATTAAAATACCTATTTCAATGCCAAAACACAGGGTTTACTGTTTCATTTCACTGAATTAAAAGAGAAAGACAGAAAGAGAGAATTATCCAAATTGTCAAACCTTACTCATCTGAATTGCTTTTACTTATGCAAGTAACAAGTCCTATTCTCATGAGTAGGAGGCTGAATGATTAATAACCAGTTCTTCTCTTATTGCAGAAATATACAGGCACTTGGGTGGGTTTAGGAATATATTCAAGAGCAAGATTTCAATCTACTGCTTTAGTTTAGTGCAAATGCTAAGGGATCAAGGTTTCTTTTGCTAAGAGATTGTTTGGGGCAAGGACATTTCTACCATTCCATGGACTGTTGAACAAATAGCACTGGAACTGAATCAATGATGTATTTATCACATAGACAACAAATGCATTGTTAAACAGAGCTCACCTTGGAGTAGCAGCTGGCTTCCAGTACCTGCAGAAAAGATACTGCCCATCAGCATTGACCAAGTGAGGAAGGTCCTGATATGGGATTTTCTGGGGAGTCGACCGTGGAGAATTTTCTTCTGGCATTCTGGCAGAGTGACCTGCAAAACATGGGAAGAAATCAAGACATGAATAAAACAGGTGGAAGGACTGCTATTGGAAGAATCTGCTTAGTAGAAGGAAAGGAATTAACCCCTAACTCAACTTGTTCTACTTTTCAAAGATAAAGAAACCCATGCAGCTGCTTTTCAGACTGAAGACTCTCTGTGTGAGGCAAAGAACTAGGGGAAAAATTCTCAGAGGGGGGAAAAGCAAGAAAAAAAAACCTCCCCACACAGGCTCTTTACTGCCTTCCCCCCCACCCTCCACCTGTGTTTATTTACCATCGTTATATTTTTTTTAAAAAAAACCTGCATTTCTTCTAAGCAACAATCTACTGCAAATTGGGATGCTCCTGGATGGTTCCAAGAAGCCAGCTGCATAAAAGATTCATCATCTCTCTTTAAAAAAAAAAAACATTATCAAAAGATGAGCACGAGACACCCTGTAATGAGGTGACTACCGCTGTCTTGTTGCTATGATCGTTTCTGACATCTGGGGAGGGGGGGGGGGAGAAGGCCGGGAGTGTTTTTAAAATATGCCCACACGCACACACAAAGAATAGTCGTAACAAACCTGATTTCATCCTGTGCACGGTTTTGCATTCCAAAGAAAAGCCGGCATTATAAGTCAAATGCAGTCAAGATAGAGCGCGCGTGCATGCTGACGGCGAACTGCAGAAGCGCCCCTAACAGCCAGCACCCCTAGCGCCTGGCATCAAGCCTTCGCCGTTGCAAAAGGCAGCAAAGCTTCGCCGCTGCCAAGAGCAAGGCTCTTGATCCCCACCCCTTCTTCCCAAGCTCTTTGGGCCGCCGCCTCGGATCGCCTTTCGCTATGCTTCTTTCTCTCCCGAGCCGCCGTTTGAAGAGGAAACTAGTCTTAATCAATTTACCACTTCTTTATTTATTTATTTCATCACTCCCTCCCCTTCATCTCCAGCAAATCGGGTATGTGGGCTGGAAGAGGAAGGTGGGGGTTGCCTGCGATGAAGAGCTAGGAAAGCAACAGTCCCGATTTCTAGCAGCGGCTACCAGGCAAACACACACAGAGACTTATCAAAGGCACCTTGAACGCGCTAAGCTGAGAAGCAGCAGAACGGAAACTTCCCAGGCGGGGCTGGCTGCAGGTTGCTTTCAAACTAAATGCAAGTAACAGAGGGATGAGCCGAACGGTAAGGAACGGGAGGAGGGATTCGCCCCCCCCTGCCATCTCTGGGAAAATAACTGGGTGTCCTCCCACTACCTTGTAGAAAGGGTTGCACGAAAATATCCAAGAAGGACCGAGGATTTATTTTAAAAACCGAGGCTCTGCTCGGGTTCAGGTCGGCGCGTAGCGCGCACAAACGGTGCTTGCAGGCTTTGAAAAGAAGCAGCCAGCCAAAGCTCTGGCCGCCCGCGACCCGCTCAGCAAGGGAACGCGAGCCGTGCCCAATGGAAGCGCACGCTGCTTACTCTGGGCTGGGGCAATGGAGGCAGCCGGGAGGAGGGAAGGGCTTAGTTACCAGGTGCTGGGAGGAGTTGGCGCTTGTCGCCCTGTCAAGGCTGGTGCTGCCAGGCGCCGAAGCGCTCCTTCATTCACACGCTTGTGAATGAGAGACTGGCTGAGGCCCTGGAGGTTTATTCTAAAGCGCAGCAAATAAAAATGCATCTTTTCCTGTCAGGGAAGGCAGGCGCGCCTAAAGGGAGGAGGAGCGGCAACGGGAGGCGCTCCCCAGCAGCGCTCACTTGTGGCCGCGCTGACCTTTCTTCCACGCCAAGCTTGCGACCAGATGGTTTCCTTAGGTGCAGGGGCGGGTCTTTTTTGCCCAGTACGGAGCTGGACGGGCGCTCGTGCAACAGCGTCGGCGCGCGCCTCTGTCGGACTTCAAGGAGCTCGGTGCGCGCTGCTGCTGCTGATTCGCTCCCGGTGCCTCAATTGGGAATTGATCCTGGGAAGCGAACAGCTGCTCTCCGTCCCCAGCTACATAAAGCCGGACGCCTTGTAGCTTTTCTGCCCTGGAGGAGAAGACTAGTGCTGAACCACGGGGGGGGGGGAGTGTGTGTGAATGTTGTTCATCACTAAACGTTTTCTTTCAGATTTTTATCCTGCTTTTTCATGGAGCATACCAGTACAGGTAGTCCTCAACTCACAATCGTTTGTATAGTGGCAGTTTGAAGTTATAGCGGCCCTGAAAAAAGTGACTTTGGACCGTTTCTCGCACTTAACAACTGTTGCAGCGTCCCTGTGTTGACATGATCAAAATTCAGATGTTTGGCAACTGGTTCATATTTTTGACTTGCAGTGTCCCGGGGTCATGGAATCATCTTTTGTGACCGCCTGACAAGCAAAGTCAATGGGGAGAAGCCAGATTCAATTAACAACCATGTTAACAACTTCAGTAATTCACTTAACAACTGCACCAAGAAAAGTCATGAAATGGGGCAAAACTCACTTAACACCTGTCTTGTTTAGCAACAGAAATGTTGGGCTCAACTGTGGTTGTATCTCCAGGACTATCTTTACTCTTTCGTCCTCCTATTTTCCCCACAAGCCTATGAGGTTGAGTTGGGCTGAAAAACATTGCTTTGCTGGCAATTTATAGAATATTTGACCTACCCCCATCACTGTTGAAATATTTTCCCTCAACAAGATCAGTGTAAAGGCCACGGTGCCCACTGTGTGACACTAAAAATTGCTAGTGCAGAAGAGAGATCATAACATTTAAAGGTGAATGGAGTTTTGCACCTAATTAAGATTAAAAGTTTGAGAATGTGAAGGCCCTCTTTCTTTCAGGACATGAACATCTCCATCTTTGTGAAATAAGAATTTCTGGAAAATTATGCAAAATTATCTGAAATTTTTATTTCACAAAAATAGAGAAGATGTTCATGTCCTGAAAGAAAGAGGGTGTTCGCAAAGGCAGTATATGTATACAATTGATTACACAATTGAAGTTTTATCACAGAATGGTGTATTCAGTTCTGGACATTACTTGGCAATCAAAATGGTAAAAGAACTAGAGCAAGATCCTTTAAGGAAAGGAAGCACAGACTGGGGATCTTTCACTTGTAAAAAAAAGGGGGGGCAAACAAATTGGAATATAATAAAAAGCTATAAAATTATGCATTGTTTTAAAAAAGCAGATAGGGAATCTTCTTTCACCCATAATTGTGTAACCAGGCTCAGCAGTTAAGCTGAGATGGGATGGATTAATAGAAATTCACTCAAGTGAATTCTCTATGACCAGTGGTTCTCAACCTTTCTAATGCCGCGTCCCCATAATACAGTTCCCCATGTTGTGGTGACCCCCAACCACTTATACATCACCGGGTGCCAGGGGCGTGGCCAAAAAAAGGAAAAAATGGTGGACAGCCTTGTTTGGCGACCCCCGTGAAATGGTCGTTCGACCCCAAATGGGGTCCCGACCCACAGGTTGAGAACCACTGCTCTATGACAGTACAAGAAGTTATAATGGCAATGAACTTGTTTAGCCTTCTGGGAGGATTAAACAAATTCATAGAGAATAAGTCTATTTACTGTATGCCAGCCATATAAATTGCTGGGATCTTCAGCCTCAGAGGCAGCAGGCCTCTCAATATGGGTTTTGAAGAACATAAAGTAGGTTCTTCTAACCTCATCCTGTTTGCAGACTTCCCAGTGATATCTAGTTGAGGCAGGATATTGTTTCTAATATTGACCACAAGTCACTATTAAAAACAAGGCATATCCAACTGGATTGTTGTAGCATAAAATGTGCTGATTATGCTCAGCAAAAAATAAATAAGGATTAGTTCAATAACAGTTTTACATGTTTGAAATAACTCAAACATAAACAATTAAATTTAATCACTGTGCAGTTAAAAAGATGGTAGGGGCTACTGTAACACTTTACATGGGGCTGTCTTTGGCTAGTCCAAAGTGCTGTTAGGGAGACTCACTAGTGAGACAACCCTGCCAGTTGATTATCATTAGGCTTCTGGGGCCAGCTTAAAGTCCTACATGGCACAGCACCAAGTTATTTCAAGCAATACTTTGCTAGAATATGATGGTGGACAAGGCAAGGCTTATCAGTCTTGGAAATTTTAATCTGTCCCTGACTGATTTTGAGCTGTGGGGGGCAGCTCTAGAGTTCAGGTCCACCACTATAATTATGGATCTGACCTTAACAATTGGGAGAACATACATAGTAGATGTCATATCAACCGCAACCCTTGGGCAAGGAAGAGAGAGAGGCTATTGCCATCTGGAAGATTGTGTGGTTTTCTGGTAATCTGATGTAAAGACTTCTTTGTAAAGGTAGTTCTGAGATTGCTACTGTTGATCATCTTCTTTTTCCTTCCACCTTTCCCTGTGCTGTTTATTGCCTTTTCCAGAGAGCTAGGTCTTTGTATAATGTGCCTGAAATAGAATAATTTGAGCCTAATCATTTGTTCAATCATCCATTTGTTTGTTTTATTGGCTGTCCATAGGACTCTCAGGAGTTTTCCAATACCAAAGTTCAAAGCGTCAATACTCTTTCTATCTTGCTCCTTCATGGACTTCACTTCTCTAGAGTGTCACTGGCACTGTTCTAATCTTTGTAATCATAGTCACATCACGGTATCTGAATATCTTTTCCAAGGCCTTCATGGCTGCTTTATGAAGGGCCAGTCTGTGGCATATTTCTTGATTTCTTGTTCCTTTACTGATAATGGTTGATTCTAAAAGGCAGAAGCTATTTACTTCTTCAGTATCTTAGTTGTTAATTCTAAGGCTGATTGTACCTGTTGTCACTAGTTTGTCCTTATATAGTATTTAATTTTAGTTCCATTTTTTTCAAGCATTCCTTGATTTTTATTACAAGAGTCCCAAAGGTGTTTTTTCACGAGACAATTACCTCATAAAAAAGCACCTTTGGAATAACTATGACCTGATTGAGAATCTCCCTAGACTTTTATTACAGGCGTTTTATGATTTTGACTATCAGTAATATCATCAGCATAGCTCAGATTCCTTCAGTTTTAAAACCATGTTCATTTTACAAGCCAGCTTCCCTTAATATATATATATATTCATTCAGCATGCAGGTTGAATACATGAGCGGAGAATATACAGTTTTGTCTAACTCCTTTGCTAATCTGAAGCCTGCTGTTTTGACATGTTCTTTCTGTACAATATATGGCTACCTGACTTGTATATAGGTTTCACATGAAGACATGGACCTCTCTCTGCACTTGGATCTTAGAGGGCCTGTTGGTTTTCAGAGGAACTTTGAGAAATGAAACAGCAGAAGAGTTTCATAGAGTGTTGTAGAAAGACAAATAGCAAATCCATGACAATCAAAGGCACAAAATGCAATTATTGCATTTACAGATTGCCGTCCAGCAGCCTTGTTTAAAGTTCAGATCTCTGACTCCAAAAGTTTATCTGATCTTCTGGTCCCTCTTAGAGTCAGAAAACCATTTACAGGGTGACTAGACAATTTGAGGCACTTAACAAATATATTTGCTTGTGGGAGGGGGGTCCTTGTGGCAGAATCCTGTGTTCTGCAGTGGATACTGGACCGCTGGATATATTGACCACTTATTCAGGCTCTGGTGCTTCTGATTCTGGGGTTGAGTTTGAGAAGTTTGGTTTGCAGTTTAGTTTTCTTTTTCCAGAATGTCTCTGGGAAGTGCTCATGATAGTAGTGGCTAGTCTCTCCATATTCTCTGGTATGATGGTCTGTTCCAGCTGTTCCTTGAGATTTGCTATGGTGTGCAGATATTTGTTTAATTTGAGGTGTGATCATGAGCTGTATCATTTTTCATCCACTTTCTTGGGCTATTTTCCATCCAGCTATGCAGTTGATGGGAGGTTTGTATTTGACATTAGTAGATAGGGCATGCTGTTGTAGACATTCACGCAGGAAGAAAAGTTGTTCCTTGGTGGAAGTTTGCCTGCAGGCAATTTTTTCTCATTTGTGTGTTTTCTGAAGCATTTGATGCCCAAATGTGGTACCTATAAAGGAGAATATTTGCAACTCAAGGTTGAAATGAAGGGCCCTTGGGGCTGTCTGAGCTAAGATGTTTTCTTGCAGATGTTTTATTACCCAAACTAGGTAACATCATCAGTGCTACCATAGTGCTAATGATAAATTTGTTTGGATTTGCTTTGACTAAATTCCTGTTACCCGGGTCCCTTTGAATTGGCTGAGTTAGTGTGATTATTTGAGGACTGTTTGAGCCTGTTATTCCTAAGAAAGTGGTCAGATCCTTGAAGACAAGTTTTGTGCAAATGGTGTGATTTCACCCTTAAACGAAGTGTGAGGCAGTGGTCTATCCTTTCATAAAGTGGTCATTGATAAACCTACTGTGTTGGAAAACCTGCATCCAGTTTTTCATTTCTAGGGAAGTTTATTGTAAAGGTGGCTGGGTTGCAGCTTTGGAGACCATGTAGGAAATTGATTATTTGGGTGCCTTCTTGTTGGCTATACTAGTGAGACAACATTAATTGCACTGATGCACAGGTCGGCAACCTGCGGCTCTGGAGCCGCATGCGGCTCTTTGAGCCTTCCCCTGTGGCTCCCAGCCTCCTCTGCCATTTGCAGAGAGAGAGGCAATTGCGCTTCCCTGCTTCTCTCTCTCTCTCTCTCTCTCTCTCTCTCTCTCTCTCTCTCTCTCTCTCTCTCTCTCTCCATGTGTGTGTAAAACAGAGTGCACTTACTGTTCTCCGAGGAGCTCAAAAGCTTATTGGGCGGAGCTCCTCTCTTTGCTGCATCTCTGCAGGAAGCAGGAAGGGCAGGAGAGAGCTAGCTAACCCAGCTATGCTGATTCAGGAATTCTGGGAGTTGAAGTCCATGAGTCATAAAAGAGCCGAGGTTGCCTACCCCTGAGCTTGTTGGAGAACAGCTTGAAGCCAGCTTGCCAGATGAGCAGCAGATAGGAGAGAGGGGGGGGAGAAAGAGAAAGAGAGAGAGGGAGGGAGAGAGAGAGAAAGAAAGAGAGTGGGAGAAGAGGACTGGCAGACCAAGGGCAGATAGAGAGAGGGGGAGGGAGAGAGAGAGACACAGAGAGAAAGAC